CTATCATTCCACTTTTTTTTTTTTTGGAATTATAAAATGGCATTTACCTATATACTTCAGCCTCTTTTATAACATTCAATATTATTATAATACTATACTCACTTACAAATATATTATTACATAGATTTTATGCCAACTACATTTATTTCATAAAAAAAAATATTAACTTTTATACATACTTCAGTAGCTTGTTATCCTTGTTACCTTAGAAATTATCATTGAAAATTTTCATCTTGTTTTACTTTTTTCATATTACAAAAGAACAAAAAAAAAAAAGTAAAATAACAAGAGAACAAAAGTGGAGAACAAAAAAAAAAAGTAAAATAACAATGTCATGTCATGACATACTCATATAACATAATATAAACATACAAAAATAAATTTTAATCAAACCAAAATAGTATAATGTAGCACAACTCGGTTTAACAAGAGTGAAAACGTTTTTTTTTAAAAAAACACCAACTTTTATATTTTATTCTCATTAAAATATCAAAATTTTGCATACTTTTTGGGGTAAGAGTAATTAATATTACTGTATAACATAATGTAAAAATATAATAATCGAAATTGACGGCTAATTAAGACAATTAATTAGACTGAATTATTACTGTTAGTTTTCTGTTATTATAGAATTTAGGATAATCTTACAGTTCCACTATGACATTTCACAGTCAAGTACATTCGCCTATATCATTTCGATATCAAAGAAGCGAGTTCCTAGTTTTCGGCTATTACGAAATTGAAAAATTATTTGTTAATAAAAGTTTTTTGTCGGAACTCAGAAAGCCACAATTTTTAATAGTGTCAAGAAGGGAGGAGATAAAAATTTTCTTCTACGAGATCTACATACCTTAAAGGGTGGAAAATTCATTTAAACAAACGTGGCATTGTTTTGACAAATTGAAACTAATAAGTATAATTTTAATTTTCAATTTTACTGGAAATGAGCTGGGAAGAGAATTTGAAAAGTATTTTACTACAAAAGAATTTTTTTTTTCTTTTTTTTTTTGCAAAAAGTTTTAAAAACTGATAATTTTTGATTTTTTGTACTTATGTACTTACATACATATACAATCATATTTATAATTTTATTGAATTGAAAATATTAAAATGTTAATATTATGTGACTTGACATTATTTCTTCTTTACCTTGACATTTGATTCAGATTCTTGAAATATGATTGTTTGTATGTATGCAGATACATAACTTAACAGTATATAAAAGTATATTTAATAAATTTTTAAAAGTATTTCAATAAATAATTTTACACAATACTATATTTTACTTTTCTATAATTATTAATGCTATTTAAAAAACGGAAAACATTAAATTAAAATTTAAGAGTGGAAAACTGTATAGAGAAAAAATTTTATATAAAAATATTTTTAAATAATTTTACAAATCGACTCATTTATCAAGTAGATTTTAACAATAGGTTCAAGCTAAAAGTGGTCTCGAAATTTAATATCAGATTACAATTAATGCATGCAGTGAAAAATGGTTGGTGCAATAGTTTTCAAGTTTACAGAAGTTCCAATTAATTAAAGTCTTAGAAGTGTGAATCTAAGACAAAACTGCTTTAGTTAATCTCGCTTGTAAATCTATAATTCGACATATTGTGATCAAATTTGAATTAATCTGCAAAAAAGAAGAAATAGCACTCCATTTAATCCTATTTGAAGTTTTTATGTGCCAATCCAAAGCGAACCAAAAAATTCAGGGTGTACGAAACAATAATTTTCCTTAAAAATTCAAGATTTAAGTACACTACAATTTCTCTTAAAACTTATTGAAAAATGTACCTTATTCTAAAAATTCCATATATATTTCTTGGTGCAGTAACGAAAAAATAACACGTTTCATTAATATGTCAGCAATACGACGATGCTCCAAAAATTAATTTTCTTTCATTTTTAAATTCAATAAATGCATCATGATACCATCGAAAGTTTTCTACAACTCAAATTCAACTGGATTCCGGCCTGATCGATTTAATTAACAGAAATGTAATTTAATATTTTATGACGCACTCCCCGGTAGTCTTCGATACTGAAATGGTATACATTCAATTATAATTCACGCGTTTTATACACTTAATTTTTCTGAAACTATTTATAACAGAATATGTGACCTATTGTCATTTGAATATTAATTTAAATCATAAATAATAGAATTGAAGTACTATTGTTAAATAAAATGGGACTTGAAATTTCATACAATTTCACAGAATACACTTAATACTTATTACAAAAAAAAAAAAAACTATTCTATTTAAAATAAATTAATTTTTACAATTTTCGTTTTTTAAATTGACAACATTTCTGTTGATAACAAAGTGTATTTGACCCCCAACAGTTAAACCACAACAAAATGAAAGAGAAAAACAAAAAACTTAATTCAATATTTTTCAAATAATAGAAAATGCAATTCGATAAAGAGAGAGGAGAGCCAGAAGTTTGAAAATATTAAATATTCAAAATAGTGTATACAAAACAGAGAGCAGAAAAAAAAGAGAACAATAAGAAGAATGATAAAAGTAAGCGATTTCAAATTTTCCAAAATAAAATTGAAATTAACTTCCGAATTTTTTTCTTTTTTTTTTTTTATTTCATAAAAAGGAAATCATTTTTAAAACTGTTATATAAAACTGTTTTCATAAAACGCGATGTTGTTATATAAATTGAAAGCAATTTCTCTATTATTTTTTAAATCACTTTTAAATTGAATTTTTTTTTTAATATTTTTATAATTTAATAATGTTTCTTTTAGTGATTTTAATAACTGAAATTGATTGCCTCTCTAAACAATTTCAAAATGCTTTTAACAACTGGCAATATCAAAACCTTTATTAATTTAAAATTTAAAATCAAAGTATAGCTGTAGTTTTTATGTATTGAACTAGAAAATATTTTCTTCTTCTTAATCAATCAAATATTAATGAAAGAAAACAAGAATGAAAATAATTTAATTTGAGGTTTTAATATTCATTTAATTCGAAATATTTATACGAAGCTTTAAAGGACGCTTCCTTGAAATTTCGGTTCCAGCTTTTGTAACCGGATACAGGCGGTTATGTTTATTATTTCCATGAGCCTGATAACACTATACTATAGTATCAAAAACGTGAACTTTAAAATCGATTTAATTTAAGAAGGCATGTTAGCTAATAATATAGAATTACTTCAATATTGAATTTTAGCAATACTGGGATATGAGAGAAGAAATAGACTGTCTCAAATAATTCAGAGCTGATTGTGATGACACTTTTCTCTGGTTATTCAAGTGTTGATCATATTATCAACCATTTGATTGGAATTCTAACCAACTGAAAAGGTATTCTATATAAATATAGTGAATTAATTGGATGTTATCATAGTCTAAGAGCTTTTACATTCGAATGGCATTCCAAAAATTAAAAAAACAAATCGGATTTTTATATAAAATTTTATCTATTAAGAACATTTCATTGTTACTTAAGTGAGGTGTTAGTGCCTTCCAAAAAATAATTTGAAACCCTAGTCTTTATAGTGTTAATTTCGAATAACATAGATGGTCGAGAGGAAAGTTAAACAAAAACAAAAATTTTTTCCACCTTTCTGTTAGAGTGTGACCTATACCAAAATTTATTTAAAAGTCTTAGCAAATAAACAAAGCATTTGACTGGTTTATTACTATACTGTTGTTTTACAAAATTGTATAAAACAACATTAAATTATTTTTATAATTCCCTACTTTCTATTCACCTTAACATTTTAAAAATTTCTAGAGAAAGACACTTATCATCACTTATCATCACTTCTAATAAACGGCATTTTTTTTTTTGCCTTTCTTTTTTGAATTTTAAATTAAAGAAGGGTAAAAATGAATAAATTTTTAAAAGTGGACATTCTATTTTTGTTTTTTTTTTCCCCGTAAAATATTTTTATACAATATTTTTTATTTTATAAACGGGAAACACAATGAATTTCAAAGTGTTGAATATTTAATTATCCTTAATTTCAATTGAGACTCAATTATAATTTAATTAATATGAGAATTCACTTTAATTTGAATAAAATGGGGAGAAAAAAATTAACAAATTTGAATTTAATTAATGAAAATACTTGAATTTAATTAAAATATTTATTTTTATATAATAACAATAAGTTTAATTTTATGAACAATGTGAATAAAAAATTTTTCAAATTATATTTAATTAAAATTAATTTTTTCAGTAATTTAAAGAAAATTTTTAAAGGCCATAATGCCTCTGTGCATAACATAAGCCAAGCTTTATGCCTATCAAACAATGTTTTTTTTTAATAATTATTGATTTCTGAAATGAAAATTTTGAAAATTGCACTGAACACGAACTCTGGTGGAAAAGTTTTTAAACCACATTTTCATTATATGTAGACCCAAAACTGACCCTTACCAAAAAAAATTTACATTGAGTCATTCAACATAAATATTTAAATTTTTAATAAAATTCATTTTAAAAATTTTTTTACTCCAATTTCGATCCTGACCTTCGGTCTTATAGTCTTGCCGGCATCTGTTTATTATGGCTAATTCAAAATCAATTTAAAACTAAATTCAATGATTTTCTCTATAGCCGTACAAAAAATGATTAGTTAAAAAAATATTTTGAATAGTAATATAAAATTCTCTCAATGATAATTTAATTAACAATTTTAAAAACAACTTTCCTAAAAATTCAAAAACTCTGTTCTTCTATATACCGTTATTCTAATTCAAATTTTCACTTTCTTCAATATACTTAGATTTTAATTTTTTTTTTTTTATCCTACTTCGCTCCTAGGAGGAGCATAGGGCTGCTGTATGATTATTGTATATAACCATGAACCACTTTCTGATGTCATTGGGTTTACTAGGTAGGTGACGAGATTTTCATTAATTTTCTTAAAAGCAAAAATATTTTATTTTAATAATTAAATTCATATTAAAAATATTCAAATCGCAATAATAAAAATAAATTTGAGAAGAAGAAAAAGCTTACCTTATGTGGCCTTTCAATTTGTCCTAAAAAAAATGTTAATAAAGCTACAATAATAAAATTAACACCACCAGCAAAATCAGTTAATTTATCCATTGAAAAAACAGAATTAATTAAGAAAAATATTATTTGCATAACAACGGTAACAATTGCACTTATGGCAAAATGGTCGTCATCTAAGACACGCAAAACCATTTTCCTCATTTTTGCTTTTTTTTTTGATTTTTTTCTTCACAACTACTTAAATTTTTTTTTTTATTAAAGAAAAATTTATACCTACGTATTTTTTAATAATAATAAAAAAAAAAAAAATATTTTTTTTTTTTTTTTTGTAAAATGTTCAACAATTTTTTATTTTTCTTTTATGATCTTCAGAAAAAAAAAAAGGTTAATTTTTTTTTTATTTAAAAAATGAAAATCCTTTCATTTTTGTTTTTTTGATATTTTTCATTTATTATCCTTTATTTCTAATTATTATAATTTTTATAATACACGACTGTTAGTTTGTTGTTTTTTTTTTTATGTTAATTATTTTAATAAATTTTTTTAAGGTTATGAAAAATTTCAAATTATAAATTCCAGCTGTTAGAAATTAGAACAATTTCTTTCCATATAAAAAATTTTATTATTACTGTGGCTTAGTAATATTGCTGTTGTATTAATCGAATTATACCAATGTAGCTGTAAACTTGAGGAAAATTAAAAATTGTTTAAAGAACCTTTTCTTTTAAATTAAATTTTCAATAATTTCACTTTTCTTTTTTCTAATTCTTTTCTTTAACATCCATTAACTTATTTTACTTAGAATCGAGAACAATTTTCTGTAAATATTTTTCTGTTATACAAAAACGTTTACATTGTTTTCTAATGTTGAACAATAATACACTGTAAAAAAAAATTTTTTGAAAAATTAAAATAATTTAATATTGTAATACATGAATATAAAAAATGCAAGATAATAAATTAATTGAAACAGTTCAGTGATTAAGAAAATTTTAAAGTAAGAAAAATCGAAATTTTTTTCATTTTTAATAATATTTAATTAAAAGTTGCATATGTATTTATTTAGTTTTCAAAAGAAAACTGTGTGTTCCAAAGACCCTTGTATGCTGTGCTAACACTAAACCCATGTATTACTTTATGGCACACTAGTTTACAATTACACTATACTATGTATATGAAACTATGTGTATGAAAAATTCATACTATGTGTATGAAAAATTAATTCTATTCATAGTTGTATAACACTATTTGTTGCACTTGAGTGAATTACTATTGTGCTATATAGTATCAATGTAAGAATGACAAATATTTTAGTGTTATACAACTATGAATAGAATTAATTTAATACAATTGTTAGTACAGTATAATTTTAATAAAATTTAACTAACATTTTTTTACAGTGTATAACATTATACTTTAATTACATACACACATATATAACGTAATTGATATCATTTAATTGCACTGGATGACTTTGTATTGAAGCTATTATAGAAAATGTCCTTTATGTTTTTCTTATTTTTTTTTCGTTCTTTTCCTTTTTAAATAGTATAATAATAGTTAACGTGATATTAAAAAGCATAAAATTATAAAAATATCAAAGAAAGGGGAAAAAAAAGAGTAGCTTTTGATCAAAATTAGTTTCTTTCTATATTCTCCGTATTTTGTTTTTTTTTTTTTATTTGAAAAAAATTTTCTATTCTCTGCTCATTTTATACTTATATTATATACGTACGTATATTAATTTGTATAACACTTTAAATTATATTCTTTGATATATACACGAATGCACATAATATGTCCGTTCGTGTAGTTTTTATACCATTATTTATAATTTATTTGTGGGTTTTCTTTTTTTTTTCTCTCTTGATTTGTTGTTATACACTTTTTCTTTTGATTTTTTATTTTATTTTGAATAGAATTTTTTTCTCTATATAAAAGTATTAAAGAGTTTACAAAGAAAACTGATACTTAAGTATTTCACTCATGCTGTAGATATATGTATAATAAAAACATACGTATAGATAATATGTATGTGTGTATTTGTATGGGTACTCTAAATAGTGACAAATTTATTTTTCTCTATAAATTTAACAGTTATATATATATATATATACGTCATATATATCAGTTATCTCTTCTTGTTATCTCTTTCTATCGTATTTTATTTTATATTATGATATTTTTAAGTGTTAAAAAGATATATATGCATTCTAAAGTATATATTCATGATATATATGTATATATTTGTATAAATTTTATATATGTATATATATAAAATTTATATGGTGGTTTTTTTGTTTAAAGATCTTATATTGCATTCTATTTCCATACGAGGTACATAAATTATTCAGTTTTCTTTTCATTTAAAAAATATTTTCACATCTATATGTTGATATATACCAAATATATAACAGATATATATACATATTATATATATGTATATTTCAACTATGAATATTACATTTAAAATAGTTAAAGTGTTTGTTCATTTTTTGATATTCTTGTTATATTACTCGTATATATATAAGATCGTTGTTAAACAGTGTTGCACATATTTAAACTGTTATATTGCCACTTTTTTTTTTACCATACGAGTATATAATGATAGGCAAAATCTTTCATCTTCAAATGTAAAATTTGTTTGAATTCTGTAAAGAAAAGAAATTAAAAAATTTTGTAGAAGAATTTAATTTATATTGTATGTATGTATATATGAGTAGGTAAATATAAATGAAATTTATAAGAAATCAAATATTTTAAAAATTGTTATATATAAGAAAAGTGACTAAGTGTAAATAATAAATTTAAAATATATTCATAGATATATATAAAATTATATTGTATATAAAAATGTACTTTGCTAAAAGTATACTTCTATTCGAGTATAACTTGGAATTTAAATAAAAATTTAAATGGTACTTGTTCCATTTATTTTCTCTCTTTTTTTTTTTTTGAATAAAGTGGTACAATGATGAAAGAAAATTATTTGTTGGAAAGACATTTATATAAGACATTAGACAATCAGAAAATTACGATATATGATTTGAAGATAGCGTGAAACTAGAATTTAGTGTATGTAAGGATATCAGGCAGCAATAAAGTATCGTAAGGATATGAGGCAGCAATAAAAATTAGGTAATTTTCATATATCCGCATAGAATATAAATATTAATTCTCTTGAAAGTTATCACAGTCTAGCTAGTGACTGATTATTGTTACTGTATGTAAATTTTCAATAATAGGATCTATTAAATAAGTTTGTTAAAGAAAGTATTAAAAATCAGAATGATTGTATCAGAAATGAAAGTATTATAAATTAGAATGTTCGAAACGCTCTAATCATATTTGATCAGCCACTGATCAATCACATAAATGTTATATATTGATCAAATGAAACATTTTTTGCTTTCCTTTAATTGCTTATGGCCAAAAATACATGCTTTTTAATTAATTATTTTAGAATTTTTCGTATTAATTTAACCGAACCTATATATAACGAATAAAAAAAAGATAGGAGTCATTCATATTTTGTAGAATACCGTACTTTGCTCTGTAATAAAACTCTGTACTTTGGGAACCGACAGTCGGACCCACATGATTCAAAAACGGTATACCTGGTATATTTCTAAGAATTATTTTAAATTTCTGATATAAGATTCTTACATAAGACAATTACATTTAACAATAATTAAAGGAATCTTATATTGTCTTTCATCAGAATTAAATGAATAAAAAACTTAAATAATTTTATTAATAAACTCTTAAGATTATTTAAGAATTAAATAAGACAATATTGTCATTATACATGTATGTATATATTAAAGTAAAGTCACCCGAAATATAAAAGATGAAGGAAATTTAAGAAAAGTTTTAAAATTTTTAAATTCCATATAATTTTTACTATATAACTATTATAATTTATTTATAACTTTATTCAATTTCTTTGAATAAAAATAATAGAATCAAGTCGGAAAAGGATATAGTCTTAGAGATACCTAAGAAAATACGAGTATATTAATATTATTATTATACTTTTCATTTTGGTACAAAAATATTTATTCTTATAAAGATTCTGTTATACAGAAATACTCTATAGTTATTTAAATGTCAAATACTATTTTTTGGAATTTTTCCAAAAATAATTTTACTCTCTTACTAACTCTTAAGTTTTTACTATTAAAATAACTTTCTTATATAAAAATAACAATCATTTATTATTTAAAAAATATTCTTTGATCCTTTGAATTTATAAAATTTTTCATTCATAAAATATACAAGAACAAAGAACGATAATTTGTATTTAATGTATTTGAGAAACAAATTTTTTTTTTAGTAAATTTTCAACCAGATAAGGAAATAAATATCTGTTTGTAAATTTGATTGCCTGTCCGTTTGGTATTGGGTCTTTTGGTAAAAAATTTCTATAATTTTTAAGATGAAAATAAGAAATTTAATGCTTTGTGAGAAAATTACTCCTATAGAGAAAATTTTAACGTTTGGCTTCTTCCTTTAGTAGTTAATTAGTGGTAAAATACAACTATTAATTTGAGGATGTAAAGTGTATTTTATTTGTTGAAATCTTAAAATTATTCGTTAAAAATACACAGTATGATATTGAGGGAATAGCTTATATATTTAGGAGCTAAGGGCATGGTTTTTTCAAGAGAAAAATTTTTGTTTAAAAAAAAAAAGGAAATGTGCTAGTTCATAAACCCGCACTAGGTTGATTCGAATTTTGTATTACTATTTTAAATTACATTAAGATTTTTGAGTCCACTTCATTAATAAAAAATAAATTTTGAAAAATAATTTTGTTCCTACTTTGTTCTAATCTCAAATTGAACCCAATATCAAAATTATTATTTTATCTAAAAAAATAATTTTATGAAATTTTAAAAACTTTCTTAGTTTTGGTAGCCTAATATAGTTTTTTTCATAAACAATTGCAACTGCATCACATATTCTAAGATTTAAATGTTTCACTTGGAAATCGTCTTAAGCCGTAACGAAATATACAAAAATAAAATATTATATTTATTAATAAAACAAAACCCACATACAATATCTTTGTTCCAAAAGAAAAAAATAACCAAAAATAAATCATTTTCCAAAATACCAATACATATAACTATACGTATAACAGAATATAAAAAGGACTCTTACAAATATTAAAGTAAAATTATAAAAAAAAATTCAATGAAAACATAAAAAGGAATAAAAAATATGTTTATTTAACGTTGGATACAAATTATTTTTTTCCCCCTCCATCCACCATTTCAACTTTATTTTGATTTATAAATTTAGA